TCCCTTGTGATAACCCCCCACTGAGCAACAAAAGGTTCTTCCAACACTGCTGAATCATGGAACAAGAGTGCCACATAGTGGCGACTGCAGGCATCACATGATAACAAGAACAATAATATGATTGGCCACAAGAGGCCTAGCCTCTGTCTTCCATTGGCCTACAAGATTTAAACACACACCCGGGAAGTTGAAAACCACTCCCCCCATACAGGTATATAAGCATAAACAACTAACGTTATTAAAACAACTAAAGTTATTCTTGAAAAGTCTTGAGAAGTCAGAAGTTATTCTTGACAGGATTTGCGTATTAACTACTGTTGTACGAGATTTCCTTGAATACTTCTCCAGTCGTTTATTTTGCTTTATTGTTGGACCTGTTTTGTTTGACGTTTGTTTAAAAAAAACGACCATCTACCCGCTGTTTCCACTCCTTGCCTGAAGACACCTCGCACAGCAAGAATCTTCCAATGGTTAGCTGAAGTGTGCATAATTAAAGGATCGAAAGACTCTGGGCAGGAGTAAACAGGGTTGTGTCATGACACTATAAAGACCTTTTTCTCTTTATGGACTTTATGCTCTTCACCATGTTTATCATCCAAGAAGTAACAGATCTGTGGATGAGTTTGTGAGCCAGTGAGCAATTGGAATGCTGCGACTTTGTCAGGATCAAAGCCCACTCAATCGTGTGCTTGTCCAACCCCCTTCTGTTTACCAGTGGAATGTAGAGTTAAGGACTATCAACCCCTTCACGGGTGATGGAAATCATGGAATTTAACTTTTTGTCAGAGCATGTGACCTGCTTGAGAGTCTACTAGCCTGAGGAATTCAGTTGTTCCACTACTGTGGTGTCATACAGTATATTGCCACATATAGACAGATAGTGTGCAGGAAGATTTGCTCATAATATACTTTTCTTTCATAACATAATTTGATGCAAAATTTGCCATGTATATTATATACAGTTGTTTTTTTAGGTAAGTAAACTGCAGCAGGTGAGTCCTCCCTTGACACAAACGTTGACACAGAGGGCTTTATTTACACAGTAATAATGTGCGCTCCTGTGCTATGCTTGACTTGTACACAAAGACTATCTCTCTGGGACAGCACACACTTCTCTGTCCACTCCTCCGCCTCCTTGGTTTCAGCTTCTTCTAATACAGTATAAGGAGAGCCTTGATTAATGGAATTGCGCTCACCTGGGCCCGTGGTTGCACCTCCATCACCACCCTCCTGCAGCTGAGTGCTAACCTCTGCGACACCCCCACAAAAATGTATATGTGTTTGACTCTCTCAATTTTACTGTTTAAAACAGAAGTTTCCAAGCCTTTTCACTTCCAGGACCCTTAAACTGACACAATCTGAGATGTAGCGGACTAGGAGTATAAAGTTTTATTAAATGCAAATACTCAAATAAAGGACCTGAACTCTGTATTTAAGAACATGCAGTTAGTTACTGTCCAAGATGTACTCATATAGATAAACAAGATGGTGCTAATGCTGATGGCAGCAACCTTCTTGCCGCTCTGCAGCAAAACTTCCTGAGGAACAGGGCAAGGGAAGAATCTAAATATGTGTGGACAATGCATACCATGGACCACAATAAACAGATAGATGTCAGCAGTTGCGGAGTTCTAGTGTTGATGGTACTATTTCGGAACACAAAAAGATTAAGCTAATAGTATTTAATTGTAAAGATGATGTATCTAGAGCAGGGGTGTCGAACTCACTTTCACCTGGGGCCACATCAGCAATACAGTTCCACTTGAAGAACCGGTTGTAATTGGAAGACTGTATAGATTAGGGGTCCCCAACGCCTGGTCCATGGATCAGTACAGGTCCATTGGTCATTTGGTACCAGACTGCAGTGGGACAGATTAAATAGTTTAAAAAATGTGCTTAATTTTTACTAATTTACTTCATTCAAAGAAAGTCCAGTCATATCCATTTGCTTTCTTTATTTAAAGAATATCAATTAAAAAAAGGTAAGGTCCTGCATTGCAAAATCATCCGTTGTCCGCCTCAACGCAGACTGTGATAGTTAGCAGCTACGCTTAGCCACAATTAGCATTGAACATCCGCGGGT